CCTACTACCCCCCCCCCCCCCCTTTCTTGTTTTCAACTCCAATTCTTTGTCATCATAGTATTTTTGGATGGAAACTGCAGCTTACTTCTTAGTATGAAATTGAATTCATACTCTTTGTATTGTTAATGGTGTTTCACTGAAATTCTATTAACACAAAATATGCATCCTGATTGGTTGTCTTTAAATTCATGATTTAGCAATGCTGTATTTTGATTCCATCTGGAAATAAGTTAGGTCTGGTATAATTTATTTATTCATTTGAAATTGCTATTTTGCTTGTCGGTGTTTCTTTTGCTGATCTTATTCTTTGGTCACTCGATATACTTGGAGCTTTGAATATTAGTCTCAAAATCAACTTACTGGCCTCCCCCTGATTACTAGAAGTCCTTCATAGTCTTCTATTTCCCATGAACCAATCCCCATGGAAAACAGGAGAGTGAGCATAATTGAGGGATTACTGGACAAACAAGGTTTAGTAAGATTAAGCATTTAAGCAACCTGTCCAAGGAATAGCAAACATTCTTCCAAGTATCCAAATGTGTAGTTAACTTAGTAAGGACAGGATTCCCATAGATGTCCTTCATAGTCTTCTATTTACCACGAGCCAATCCCCATGGAAAACAGTAGACTGAGCATAATTGAGGGATTACTAGACAAATAAGGTTTAGTAAGATTAAGCATTTAAGCTTCGTGTCCAAGGAATAGCAAACATCCTTCCAAGTATCCAAATGTGTAGTTAACTTAGTAAGGACAGGATTCCCAAAGAAGTAAACCCAGCAAGGGAAAAAGTTACCAATGTTATAATCGGAATACATCTTTTAAAACACCTTTAAAACACATAAATAGTGGAACGGAGTGAGTAGAGTCCATCTGCTTCCATCCTCTTTTAAAAACCCCAAATAGTGGCTTACAAGCCCATTCCATTCCCTACCATCATCCAAACTTAGCCTAGGTTATGAGCCCATTATATCTTTACCATCAGTCCAATCATAAATGCAAAATCTAATGACCATTTTGTATCAGAACTCTGGATTAAGCTTTATGGGAGCGTTTAGTATACGACAAATTTTTTCATGTCTGGGAATTGTAAATCTTATAAATTATGATTCCTAAGAATGATGAAAATCTCTTCTGTTGATTATAAATGTTTATGGGAATGTTTACAAATGTCACTTGGGAATCAAAGATTTTACTGCATTAAATAAGCAAATACTTTATTTTTAACTTGGGAATATTGGGTTCCCACCTATTCCATGGGAACCATTTCGTGAGAAACCTATGTGAAAATCATACCAGGAAACAGTGCTTCCTAGGAATGTTATTTTTTAAACAACAACCAAACAAGAGAATCTAACATTCCCTATGTCAGATTTCCGGGAAAGTAAAAACTTTCCGTGCTTTAAATGCTCCCTATAAGTTATATTGATTTCTTTGCCTTTTTGTTTATTTCTTTCCAGGCATAAGAAGCAGAAGGAGGAGGATATTGCTATATGTGAATGCAGATTTGATGCTGATGACCCTGACAGTGCATGTGGGGATAGCTGCCTGAATGTATTAACCAGCACTGAATGCACCCCTGGTCATTGCCCTTGTGATATCTTATGCAAAAATCAGGTTAACTCATGTTTATGTCCATATGTGATGTTATAGTTGTTATGTACTCATGTGAATCTATCAATTACAAAATACTATTGTTTACGTCTATATGTAAAATTGTAAATTCATGCATCTGTCAATTACAAAATACTATTAAAGCCTATTCAGCCTTTTATAGTTTTGTTTACTGTATTGTTTTTTTAGTTTTATAAACTTTTTCATAGCATTCAAGATTGCCCTTCTAGAACTTTTATGTTTTATAATTTTTGAGCCTTTGACCTGTTTATTTTGGATGAAGCTAACATCATTTACTATATTCATGTCCCATACATATGTCATGGTTACAGAAATTTCAGAAGTGTGAATATGCAAAAACAAAGTTGTTCAAAACTGAAGGCCGTGGGTGGGGTCTGTTGGCTGATGAGGACATTAAGGTAATCATACAATGAATTGCTGTGAAATTTGGAAAAAGAAAACAACTTTCTTGCTTAACTTGATGAATTTCATTGCAGTTTTTGCTTTCTCATGGGTGTGGTTGATTATTTAGCCATTTCTTTAGTGCAGTAGTGCAACACTTAAATTTATATATTTCATACAGGCAGGACAATTTGTCATTGAATACTGTGGGGAAGTGATATCATGGAAAGAAGCGAAACGGAGATCCCAGACTTATGAAATCCAAGGTATCAAATGTCAATTAATTCAATGTTTCTGTTCAACTGGTATTCTATTTTATTTTATTCATACAACTTTTGTCTTTTTTGCAGGTCTTAAAGATGCATTTATCATTTGCCTTAATGCATCCGAATCTATTGATGCAACCAGAAAAGGAAGCCTTGCTAGATTTATAAATCATTCCTGGTAATCACTTCAAACAAAAATATGATTACTAACTATTAAGTAAAACAAACATGTTAGTATGCAAATATAGCAGGCACGTTTTCTTATTATCCTTGTTTCCCATTGCCCAAGGTTTGATATCAAATGAATATTTTTAAGTTTGCAGTCAACCGAATTGTGAGACAAGAAAATGGAATGTGTTGGGGGAAATAAGAGTCGGAATATTTGCAAAACATGATATTCCTATTGGAACTGAATTGGCTTATGATTATAATTTTGAATGGTTTGGAGGTGCAAAGGTTCGCTGCCTCTGTGGTGCACTTAAGTGTTCTGGATTCCTTGGAGCAAAATCTCGTGGTTTTCAGGTGTGTATAAACCAAAAGTAGTTGAAACCTCAAAAATGTTGAGTGATTGAGTATGGTGTGATTGTTGTAATCTTGTAGACCATGAGCTTTCAAGTCCCACCAATAGCTTGAAATGTGATGGTTAGGTTTTTTTTATTCTTTTGATGTCATTGAGGCTATCAGTGGGGCTTTAAAGCTTGGTCTTTTTATTCTTGTTAAATGCCAAAAATGTGATGTCGTTGAGGCTTGATCAAAGAGGTGAACTCATGTATTCAATTTGATCATCACTTTTGGTCTATTGTTGAAAACATGGTAGAATCTTGCCTTAGGTGGTTTGGCCATGGGTAGAGAAGATTACTAGCAGCCTGAATTAGGAGAGTAGCGGTAGAGGTAAACCGAAAAACTATAGGAAAAGCCATTGGGGAGGATTTAAAGGTCAATAATTTGTCTAAAGAATACTATGCCTTTGATTGATCCATGTAACCAACCTAACTTTTTGGGTATAGTCTCAATTGTTGTTGTTGTTGTATCAGTTTTGATCTAGTGGAATGCCTGTTCCAATTGTCATTTTATCTGGGGGAAAATATAGCAGTAATAATTGAAAATAGATTGCTACGTCCCTTTTCTGTATTTCTTTATTTTTTCACCTTTTGCTTTTCTTTGATTATTGTTGATTTTTAATCAACTAATTTTTTTCTTCTAATTTTGGGAAAACTATGAGCAGGAGGATACTTATCTATGGGAAGATGACGATGACAGGTATTTTTTAATATATCCTTTTTTTGTGATGCATCTATCTATAAAATAACAGCTTTCATTTTCTCTGTTAGTGTGATCTGCACACCAATTGTAATAAGCAACATGTAATGAATGCATTCCTCTTGCGCCTGAAACTGGTGTCTTTGTTTTGAAATTTTCCTTTCTTTTGAGTACGGGGAAACAAACTAGCATTATCAACCTTGTTACAATTGCACATGGATAGTGTAAAAAATTCAGTCATTCAATTTTCATCTATTTTATTTTTGGTATAAAGTTATAAGTTATATAAAATGTTTTGTCATTTTATATATGTATGTCATTCATGGATATAAAATGCTAACATTATAATTATTTTAGGGTTTAAATGTTTTTAGTCTTTGAAAATATGGTTATTTAGGAATTAGTCTCTATACATTTTTTCACTTTTTTCCTTACATTTAACCATGTGTGAAACATAGACACTCCAAAAATGGCAAAGTATATGTGCCAGACTCGTACGCAAAAAGCATACAATATGCCTGGATGTGTATCAAAGGAGCATTGTCTTTTACATTCGGAATTACAATTTTGTTACATTGAATAGGACTAAAATTACATATGGCTCGGTCTTTTTCCTTTATATCTTTAAAGCTTTAGCAAATACTAGACAATTATATAGAGTCAAGAATAGGACTATATGCTTCTGTGTGACATTCTAACCTGGTTTGGGGAAAAATATACATAGCAGGGAAAAGAAGATATTCTGATAAGGGCAAGCTGGCAAGAGAAATATTTTCTTTTCTCCTTTGATCAAAAGTTTTTTTTTATTATTGTTTATTTTTAAATTGTCATCATCATTCAACGATGCAGTTAGAATGATCGATGCCTCTACTAATTTTGTGCATTTCTGTCTAGCAATTTTTTCTTTTCTCAAATTGATGTTCACATCTCTTAACTTTATCATGTCTTGAATTCTAAGAATTTCCTGTGTTATTGTGTCTCTGTCATATTGTTATGACATGAATATGTCAAGCTATGGCAAATAAATAGTAGTCAATGCTTGCTGCTATGACATGTGAAGAAAGGGGACGTGTGCAGTCCAGCACATATGATCTACTAACTAACTAATTCAGCATTGCATATTACTTGGTAAATACAGTGATTAAAAAAAAGGAAATGTATATCAACATCTTCTAATTGACCTTGTAATGAAGACTGAACTTCCTTAACTATAAATATAATTATCAAAGCTGTAGCCTAATCTTTCCAAGAATATCTTGTTGACTTGGTCTTTTTTACACTTGTTACTATGATTTCCATTTCTCGTGATGTTTTGGTGCATGAATTTTTTGTTGATTTTATTGGTTACAGGTACTCTGTCGAAAAAATTCCTGTATATGATTCTGCAGAGGATGAACTGGAGTCAAATGTTAATGGACGAACTGAACACTCTTTGGATGTTACAGTTAAAGCTGAGCAACTATCGGAGTCCACTGCTTTCCATGTTCAGCCACTTGATTCAGTTCAAATGAAAGGTTTGGATGTCAAGAAGATTAAAACTGATGTTGAAGGGGAGGATATGAACTTGTACTCGAATGGTACAGAACAGACCCTTTCACAAAAGAATGCAATGATATCACGAATTCGAGATAATGCTGCGGGCAGAAACTATCGCCTTGGACCTAGGTCCATGTCTACCAAAAGATCAAGGGCATACAACGGTGGAAGGTTTAAAAATCTCATAGAGAAGAAAGTTGATGCAAAGTTTGCAGCTGGCCTCTTAGCATCCAAGGAAGCACAAGGGGAGATTTTAAATTGTGAGGTATGACTTTATTAGTTTTTTCTTGTTGCTGATCTCTGATTATGACTTGGCTTTTGATTTTGTTATTTGTGGACTTAATCTTAGCTAGCTTGGTATTTCATCTTGCAAAGATAGCTTTAGTAATGTACTTATCAGTTTCATAACTGGATCCGAAAGATCCTTGTTTTAAATGACTCGTCAGAATCTAGATTAGGGGTGAATAAGGAATTGGATTATCCTTATCCTTACTCGACTTGTTTTCTGATTGGATCATTTTTCTAAACTTTAACCCAATATGATCCAAATCCAAAATATATAAGACAATATTGGATCAACTTGACTTTCTAATATAATACATCAATATTAATATTATATATAGTTAAATTATAAAATAATAATAAAAAAGCATCACAGTTAAATGAAGAGATATTTTAAAATTTAAAATGAACATTAACAATATAATTATAAATATAATATTATGTTATATAAAATATTATCTATTAAATCAAAGAGTTTTATTATTAATACATAATAGTTTGAAAAAAAATATATACTTTTTAAGAAAATATATGATGTGATATCAAATCGGAGGGGTCACCTGAGACATAATCGACATAATCCGCATTTATTCTCAAAATACATTAGATTTAAATTTAAGATTTGAACCTGTCAAAATTAACCTCGGGCTAAATCGGGTTTGGGGATTGGGTTGGGATGTTCACCCCTAATCAGGATCCATAACTTTGAAAAAGATAAATTCAATTTAGTTTGAGGTGGGGTGAAAGTCTTAAAGAGTTCAACTAAGGGATGGCAGTGCATGATTTAGTAATCTTGTAATTGTAAAAATTATTTAATTTGATGTCAAACTTCAATCTTATCACTCCTTTACAATGTACAGTTACAGAGCGCACCCAAATCTTCTTTTTGGTTTTGAATGTAGTTTATCTAAAGCGAGGAAGAATGTAAAATGATAAAGTAAAAGTGCGTTTGTTGTTGATTTAAAATTTGTTAAATTTACAAAGCACTTATATTCGAATTAATGGGAGGAGAATTCTTACATATTCACCTAACATTCGTACGCACTTTGAAGTTAAATCGTTCGGTTTCATATTGGCGAATTCCTTTTCATCTGATTTCTTCCTTCACTTCCAAATATTTTCTGGTTCAGTTACCGTTTAATGCACATGCCATTCTATATGATTATTATGTTACAAATTACAAAAAGATATCAATGTCAACATCATAATGAAAATAACTGAATTGTTAGACATAGGATAGGCGAGTATTGTCAGAGAGGGTTATTGTTTTATATAGTAAATGCTTTATTGTCACTTTATTATACTGTGTAACATACGATTGCCGTTTGTATTTCCTTGTCTAGTTTTGTGTTCATCTCTTATTGAAAGGTCTTCTCCATGCAGAAAAGAAAGGATGATGCTACATCTGCTCTTGATTCCTTATACGATGAAATACGGCCTGCCATTGAGGAACACGAGAGGGATAGCCAAGACAGTGTATCCACCACTGTAGCAGAGAAATGGATACAGGCTTGTTGCCTGAAATTGAAGGCGGAGTTTGACCTCTACTCGTCAATTGTCAAAAATGTTGCTTGCACTGCGCAAAAAGCACCTGGCCAAGCAAAACCTCCTGACGTAGATAATAACGAAAACGAAATTAAGCTATTGACAGGTTGAAATTCTTATCACATTTTTTCCCATCTATAAATCTGTAATTTACAATTCACAAAACTTATTTTTTTAAAACTTATAAAATAGAGAATCTAAGACTCGATGAGAAAAAAAAAATACTTTTTGCCTGTCTTTATTTTTGTGGGAATAAAAACAAATGAAAAAAAAAGGACTGGTTACCTAGACAATTACAAACTTTGTATTTGAAGCATTTTGTTACCATTACTAGGTATGTTTGAAAACAGTTGAATTAAACTCAATTGAGATTGAAAAAAGCTACTCCTACTCGTTTTTTATTTATTTATTTATTTATTTTATCGGAATGCATTTTTTTTTTTGTTGGATACAATTTTATACGGGTATATAAACGTGCAATATGGTCATCACCTTTTAATGCATTTTCTTGGCATATACATACACCATCCAAAGAATTGTTTCGGCATAACAGATGGGATATTCTCATATAGATCAATGATTGCTCATTCAAATTAATTATTTGCCAGACGTCAGTGTCGGGTTGACTGGATGCATCAGAACGAATTGTTAATTCTTGGCTTAGGTATGGATCATGGATATTCCACGAGGTAAGGTATAGACACTCGTATCTCTGACGCTAACATTATTTATGAGTTTAGCTTTCATGAAGAGCGTCAATCAATAGGAAA